TGGCAGACTCTTAACTTTGATAAAGAATATCTCTTTGGTTTTGAGACTTTAGTCTTTGCAACTTCAGGGATCCTATCTATGCACAATCAGCTTGTAACACTCCAAAGAGAAAGGAAAACTTGAAATCGCATCATATGACCCCTTTAAGTGGTCTAAATGTATTTATATCGTCTGTCGAAGGCTTAGGACCATGTTATGTTCGTCCAATCATATTCCTCGGTCCGAGGGCTACGATAGGGTGTCCTACCTGCCTGTCAATGTATGCATTTGCATACCTCCGCACACCATCAAGCATTATTACTGTAATATTATGCGCTTTGTACTGTAATGTTTTCTCACCGGTAAATGAGACATGAGGTAATCTGACAGAGTTGCATTCAACTCTTCACCAACGCTGGTTAGCCTCTGCTCTGCCTGTGCATGGTCATGTGTTTCGGAGGAGGCGTGGCTTTGGAGAGTGATTTGCATGGAGGGTGAGATCTTATGCTTTCAAAGCTAGCTTGCTATTGCTAGCCTCTCCGAAAGCCTACTCTAGTTTTAAGTGTATTATTGTTTAAGTTTATATTAAAAGCCTACTCTAGCTTTAAGTGCATTATTGTTTAAGTTTATTTTAAAAGCCAACTCTAGCTTTAAGTGTATTATTGTTTAAGTTTATATTAAAAGCCAACTCAAGTTTTAAGTGTATTATTGTTTAAGTTTATATTAATAGCTTACTCTAGCTTTAAGTGTATTATAGTTTAAGTTTAAATTAAAAGCCTACTCTAGCTTTAAGTGTATTATTGTTTAAGTTTATATTAAAAGCCTACTCTAGCTTTAAGTGTATTATTGTTTAAGTTTAAATTAAAAGCCTACTCTAGTTTTAAGTGCATTATTGTTTAAGTTTATATTAAAAGCTTACTCTAGCTTTAAGTGTATTATAGTTTTAAGTTTAAATTAAAAGCCTACTCTAGCTTTAAATGTATTATTGTTTAAGTTTATATTAAAAGCCTACTCTAGTTTTAAGTGCATTATTGTTTAAGTTTATATTAAAAGCTTACTCTAGCTTTAAGTGTATTATAGTTTTAAATTTATATTAAAAGCTTACTCTAGCTTTAAGTGTATTATAGTTTTAAGTTTAAATTAAAAGCCTACTCTAGCTTTAAGTGTATTATTGTTTAAGTTTATATTAAAAGCCTACTCTAGTTTTAAGTGTATTATTGTTTAAGTTTATATTGAAAGCTTACTCTAGCTTTAAGTGTATTATAGTTTAAGTTTAAATTAAAAGCCTACTCTAGCTTTAAGTGTATTATTGTTTAAGTTTATATTAAAAGCCTACTCTAGCTTTAAATGTATTATTGTTTAAGTTTATATTAAAAGCCCACTCTAGCTTTAAATGTATTATTGTTTAAGTTTAAATTAAAAGCATACTCTAACTTTAAGTGTATTATTATTTAAGTTTATATTAAATGCAATAAGCTGAATTTTAGTTTTTAATTTTAATTCTGACTCACTTAAGTAGGACTTAAGTACACACTTAAGTACAGTTTAAAAAAAAGTGTAATTTGTAATGTTGTCAAATTAAATGTTTGGTACCACTTTATTTGAAGGTCTCCTTGTTACACATGTTACATGTACTTACTATTATAATAACAATTAATTATGCATAATTACATGCAAGTAACCCTAAGCCAAACCCAAATCCTAACCCTAACCATATAGTAAGTACATGTAGTTAAATAATATCACTTAGTACTTAAATGTATAATTACAGTGTAACAAGTACACCTTAAAATGAAGTGTAACCAAACATTTTACTTTAAAGTACATTTTCAATCATTATGTTTTATTAATATTTTGTCATGCTTTTAAGAAGCACACTTATTTTGATGTAGGACTTAAGTACATAGTTCCATAATTACTTAAGGAATTACTATTAAGAGAACTGCTGAATGTACTGACAAGCATTTATGATAAACTAAAATCTATTTTAATACCATTTCTATTGAAACTTGTATGTAATTTATTTAATTACAGTCTTATTTACACATTTATAATGTTAAAGTTGCAATTTAGTATATTTAAAATATATTAACATTATATATAATATTGAATAACACACTACAATTAAAATGAGAATGGGGTACTTTACATGTGCTTCAGTATGTTAGTCACCACATCAAAATAAGTGTACTTTAAAACACAACAAAATATTTAAAATGTGCTTTAATTTTATTTTGACATTATTGCAAAGGTTACTTTTAAACGTGTACTTAAGTGTGTTATGAAAGCATCTCTCTCTAAGTGCACTTAAGTGACCTTTTATTTCATAAATACATTTTATGCAAGTACGACTAAAAACACATCTGTTCCATCTTTATTTGACCCTCTAACTCTAGCACTTTCTATTATATTTTAATTCTACTTTATCTATTTATCTTCTTTTTTATTTAAAAAAAGTAACACTAGCTTTCTATTTTTTCTATTCTATTTACTTGTTTTTCTTTTTGTTTGTGTGTGTGTGTATATTGTTGCTCTTTTGTTAGTTTTGATTGCTTCTATTGTCCTCATTTGTAAGTCGCTTTGGATAAAAGCATCTGCTAAATGACTAAATGTAAATGTAAATGTAAATGTAAAGTACAGTTTGTTAAACATATATACTTATGATTTGAAGTACACTACAAGTCGACATTCAGGACAATAAGAAAACTCCTTCTTAAGAAAACTAATAATATCATAGCCCACTTGAATATTATGAAGTCCACTATTCAATTTTAGTTATGTCACACAATGAATGTTACCGGTAACTGAGTCGGACTGAGGAATCAGCTCTTACTGGTGTTGGTGCTGGTTGTGTTGGTGTTGTCGGCTGTTGCGGTGCGTGTGTTTTGTTGGTCTGATTCTGTCGACGCTCTTCTCACAGTAGCTCTGCTCGTCGAGTTAAAGTCTGTTCCACACATCAGCTGAGTGAGGCTCCCGAACGGATCCGACCTGAAGTCCAACGTTTCTACTGCACTCAGCAGCACTGAAGACCTAAAGTTAGACATCTGTGTGGAAAAAAAATAGGGAAAACCTCCATGAACACATTCAGAAACTTGATCAAAAATACAGTAAAAAATTTAAAAATGTGAAATATTATTACAATCTAAAATAGCTGTTTTCTATGTGAATATCTGTTAAACTGTAATTTATTTCTGGGATGCGCAGCTGTATTTCCATCATCATTACTCCAGTCTTCAGTGTCACATGATCCTTCAAAAATCATTTTAATATGCTGATTTGCTGCTCGAGAAACATTTCTGATTATTATCATTAATGTTGAAAACAGTTGTGCTGCCCCATATTTTTGTGGAAACCGTGATACATTTTATTTTTCAGGATTCACAGATGAATAGAAAGTTCAAAAGAACAGCATTTATTTGAAATATAAACCTTTTGTAACATTATAAACAGTGCTGGGGGTAACGCATTATATGTAACGCAAGTTATATCAGATTACTTTTTTTCAAGTAACTAGTAAAGTAATCCATTACTTTTTAAATTACATCCTTTAATCATTTCACTTTTGGTGTGAAAGCGCTTTTACATTTGCCAAAAATATAACTTTTTATATTAAAAACAAACAAGCAAGCCCCGCCCAGATGAGAAAAAGTAACACAGAAGTAATATTTTGTATTACTTTCCATAGAAAGCAACAAAGTAATGTAATTAATTACTTTTTTAGGGAATAACGACATTTATTTGATCAATAAAAAAACTGTAAGAAAAAGTAACACAGAAGTAATATTTTGTATTACTTTCCATAGAAAGCAACAAAGTAATGTAATGAATTACTTTTTTTAGGGAATAACGACATTTATTTGATCAATAAAAAAAAAAAACAGTAAAAATATGAAATATTATTACAATGTGAATGTACTGTAAAATGAAATTTATTTCTGTGATATAAAGCTGAATTTTCAGCATCATTACTCCAGTCTTCAGTGTCAAAGTACTTTTTAGGGAGTAACGTAACACTATAATGCATTACTTTTAAAAGTAACTTTCCCCAACATTGATTATAAATATCTTTACTGTCATTTTTGATCAATTTAATGCTTTTTTGCTGAATAAAAGTATTAATTTCTTCCAAAATCTTTTGAACAGTAGCGTATTTAGTTCATTTTATTATGTAGATTTTGCATTTGTGCTGCCCGCGACCCATTGCTTTTGTGTTTTTGTCCAGACAGGAAGATTAAATAAAACATCTCGTGAAAACACACCGCTTCTGCAGTCTCGTGAGATACGCTTAGGCAAACATTTGTCCATCCCATAACTGAATATCACCGTGTAATGTTATTAATTAATGCCACGCGTGTCGGTGTAATATAAGTGCATCTGTGCTTTGCATCTGTTGGCCCGGCGGCTAAAGCTGCTAATGCCAAACCTTGGAAAGGTGAAATGGTTTTTGGTGCGTGATCAGGACGGTACCTTCATAATGGGAACGCAAAGTGCAAACTGTGTTTCAGTCTCACTTAACGAGCATAACAGACATAAAGCCTGTTCGCTCAGAACGGAGGTGACAGCTGTTGTGTTAACACCGAATGAGACGGTATATTACTTTCCAGCAGGTTTTATTTATATAGCCACTGGCATGCAAACAGAGTAATGGACTGCAGAGAAGCGCGGAAAATCGAGCACAACAGCGACGGCCCACTTTTTAAGTGCCCTTGGTTCCTGAAGTGTTTTCCCATTCATTTTCTCCACATTCAGATCTAAACCTTGAACCAGACCAACCAGCTCTCAGATGAATTGTACAACAGTGTAACTATTAGCATAAAAGGCATTTATTTAAAGTTGACTGCATATGAAAACTAGTTTGAGTGTTCAGGAGTTTGATTATATCTTTCGCAAATGGACAGTTGCATTGATTTGGACCAAGAAGTATTTGAACATCAGACAACAGACAACAAATAATGCAAGACTACTTTAGTTATTTTGTGAGGAAATGAACAGTCATCCCATGAAGCACTGAAAATGACATAACTGAATCCAAAACAAGGGCACATTATGACATTTATTATAAAATGTATTTCATTTTGGTCCTCATATTTGAATGTCTGCATTCACAATGTTCCCGAGCTCAGTACAAACTAAACAATTTGGTGTAGAAACACTTTTCACTCAGAAATCGCTAGTAAATGTCAATTCAGTTACCAAGAACACATTGACTTAAATATGACATTTTGAAGAAAGACTGAAATAGTATTTTGTTACAGTGTATGTGAGTAGAGCTCAATTGTTACTCGATGCATCAATCTGATTTGATATTCTAAAAGTTGTATCTGATTGATATAATGTATTTCTTTGCACGTGCAGCATTACTCATATCCCGAACAAAACCTCAGCGCGTGCGCAGAAAGCTGATATTCATGTTAGAAGAGTTTTTTTTAGCAAATATTTAGTAAATATTCCATCTCCTCCACTGAACAGTTCAAGACACGAGAGGTAAATAAATGCACACGCATTCATGTTGAACAATACACATCACGGTGCTTTTTGAAAATGGTCCGATTCAAGTGTTTACATGCTTGAAGAAATAGTTCATCCAAAAATAATGAGTTCAGATTTGGAGAAATGGAGAAAACATCACAATAATCTACAAGTAATCCACACCACTCCAGTCCATCAATTAACATCTGGAGAAGCCAAAAGCTGAAACAAATCCATCATTAAGATGCATTTATCTTCAAACCGTTGCTTCCAGCTAAAATATCCAGAGTCTATAATCCATAATAACGCTTCCTCCAGTGAAAAGTCCATCTCCTGTTGTCTCTCACATCAAAATCCTACCACATATTTGTTTAGAGCTCTTTGGACTGTTTTGGCTTCGTACATATTTGTGCATATTTCTCTCCTGATTCAGTCCGAATGACTTTTTCACTGGAGGAAGGGTTATTCTTACAAACACACAGCTTTTGGCTTCACAAGATGTGAACTGATGGACTGGAGTGGTGTGGATTACTTGTGGATTATTGTGATGTTTTTATCAGCTGTTTGGACTCTCATTCTGACGGCACCCATTCACTGCAGAGCATCCATTGCTGAGACACTGATGCAATGCTACATTTCTCCAAATCTGATGAAGAAACAAAACTCATCCACATCTCGGATGGCCTGAGGGTGAGTCCATATTCAGTAAATGTTCATTGTTAGGTGAACTATTCTTTTAATTGCTTCCTGTTGATCAGATTATTCCAGGTCTACACTGCCCCTTTAAATCTGATCAAACGTTGATTCGATTCGAGCTCGTTTAGATTGATTGGTGTG